TAAACAGTCTGACCAACTGACGAATATTGTTGCCCTTCTTTGTTTCTGAGTTGATTTCTTATTTTAGGTATAACATGGATATGCCAATTTTCTGCCCACTAGTGTCCCCAAAGAGATGTGCGGTAAAATATACCCTTCTTTCTTGGCAATTCAAGTATTAACCTTAAATGGCATTTTTTTTAAAAAAAGCTAATTTTAAAGGCCAACAGGTGTATGCCGCTTTGACTGCCTGCCCCATGTGGCCCACGTTGACTTTCCTTGGGAGGGAATTTGAGCCATCCGGGAGCAGCTCCCAAGGAAAGCCTTGACTCAAGTTCCCATCCATCTGTTTGTTTCTCAGAGCGTTAAAAAAAAAACATTGGGCTCCCAATATTTTAATTGCACATTATAATTGTTCCCTTGCTGGTCTCCTCAACCGTAAGGGTGACAGGGCTTGGATTTCAGCTCTTGGCTTACAGGAGCTTCATGGTGCAGTGGTTGAACTCCATCCAAAACTGTGCTTACGACTCGGGGTTCAATCCCAGGTAGCCGGCTCAAGGTTTACTCAGACTCCCATCCTTCCGAGGTTTGTAAACGGAGTGTCCGGCTTGCTGGAGAGGGGGCAACGGGTAGCCTGCATAATTAAATTACAAACCATCCAGGGAGTGCTTTTAAGTGCTTGTTGTGGCATATAAACAGGCAGACGTTGCTTTTAACAGTGCGGTGTTTCTTTTGCTTCCGCTTTCAGGGAGAACAAGTACATCCCACCTGGGCAGCGGAATAGAGATGTTCTTTCCTGGGGAACGGGAAGGCAGAATTCGCCACGGGTGGGCCAGTCTGGATCAGGTCCACCCATCTCAAGATCTGGGTCTCATTCATCAGACTACAGTTCCAGCGCGGGCGCCGACCAAAGAGTAGTTAACGGAGGCAAGTACCTACTGTGGCTTAAATGGGCAAGCCTTTGTAGAAAAAAAGCCCGTTTGGACTGGACGCCCGTAGCTGTCGTAGCAGCCTTTTGAAATCATTGGGCCCCAAAGTTCCTCCCTTCAGTGCAGCTAAGTATTGAATGGAAGGTGGACCTCATGGAAGGGTGATCCGTGCAGCCGCTTCCTCCTTGATGAGACTCTGTTTGAATGGTTCAGTGCCATTTAAACTTGCTGTCGGGCTCCGCATAACTTTTCATCCCCTCTAAAAACAACCATGGTCCCACGTTAATTGTGTTATTTTATGTCAATTTATGTAAAGGCTGCCCAGGACAGAGAAGGGGGCTCTTTTCGCCAATGTCTGTTTTCGTTTCCTATTACCAGCTGCTTTGGATCCTGCACTGGGAGATAGGTGGGATATAAATTTGAAAATGGGATAAATCCATGACCCGAGGGCACACATTTCTCAGAAATAAAACATACAAACTCGACAAGCTGGACGAGAGCATCCCTGGACCATGTGGTCCATCCAGGAAGTGGTTCGCCCGTGTTTTTGAGTTGCAGTTAGCTGACCTGAAAAGGCGTTGTTGCGTTTTCCCCTGCAAAACGAAGGGAGGTGCGCAGCTTAGCAAGGAGCTGGGCGTTCCCCCCTTTCAGTTTGGTTTCAAGGACTCGTCGTCCGGGAGTCCCGAGAAGGGGCCGTCATGAAGGTGAACAAAGTGTGGGTTGCCTGGTTTCACACACTTCCCTGTCGGCCTGACCCTCCCTTCCTGTGCAGGAGAAGAAGGCCCTCTTCTGACAGGAGGTTTGGCCAAGAGGTTTGGCCCTGCCATGGTGGCCCAAGGACAGAACACTCCCGGCAGAGGCTTTATGAGCAGGACTGATTTCCTGTTCTCAACGATTCCATGAGAGAAAGGACACAATTAGGACCAAATCTCAGAGGCTTTCTCTCTCAGGTTCCACTGGTCTTCCGCTGGACCGGGTCGGTGCCCTCTGCCCGCGCCTGCCCCCCCCCAGTGAAACCAGCCTGGCTTGGACCTCCGTGGCCGGAGGTGGCCCTCGTGCCTCCTCCAGCCCACCCTGCCCCTCTTTGTTGTGGGCCCATGAGCCCAGACCGGCTTCCCCCTGTTCAAAGAAGACATGCCAGCTTCCCTGGGCGGGCCGTGCAGGATCCGTTGCATGCAGACTGTCCGGCCGATGGGCCCTGCCTGCCTTGTTTCCCCCCAACAAACCGCATTCGTAGATCCTGATTTTAACCCATGGGGGGGGCACTCTGGCGGATCAGGCCAACCTTGGCGCTGCTTGTAGCTGTGAAACCGATGGGTCCCTGAGCGAGGTGGAACACGCAACCTTTTTTTGGAACTAGGCCTTGGTTTTGCTAGTACAAGCCTGTAGAAAATCCCCAGTGGGTTTCAAAAAAAATTAAAGGTATGAGAAATCATTTTTGTCATTATTTTTTTTTACTTCCCTCCCTGTTTTTCCCCCATATATATATTATTATTATTTATTTATTTATTATTTATTTTTTTCCTTCCTTTAGTTTTTATGCTTTCCTTCATATCATTTGTTCTGTCAGGTGTTCCCTGGCTACCACCGCCTTGCCCACCTCCTTCCTCTCGCCCACCGCCACCACCTCCTCGCTACCCGTCAGGTCCCATCTCTCTTCCACCTCGGGCAGCCACCCCTACACGGCCGCCCTCCAGACCCCCTTCGCGGCCGCCCTCCAGACCCCCGTCTCACCCCTCTGCTCATGGCTGTCCAGCTCCTGTCTCTACTATGCCTAAACGCATGTCTTCAGAAGGTACAAAATACCACAATTTCGTTTGTTCATGAGTTTTTTGGGTTGTCTTTGTGTTTCTCCCCCCCCCACCCCTCCCTTCCTCTTGTGAGTTACAGGGTTTGTTTATTTATTTTTAAATCGTTCTCTTCCTCACCGAGCCTGTCATTTTGTATACTTTGAACAAAAGTTTCTGGTTTTATTGTTATATAGCTATTTCTGTTAACAGTTTTTATTATTATTATCTTTTTTTCTCTTTTTCCAGAGGGAAGCCTGGTTTGCTTTTACTTCACGCAGAAGAAGCAAACCCGGCTTTCCTCTGGGTGTGAGAAATAAACTCAAGCTATGCCTTCTTCCCCTGCTTTGCAAAGCCTGTGATTTAGCATGCTCGGAGATCACATGCTTCCACCCTCCCGACCTTTGTAGCCAAAAGCTGTTTGATTAAAGCTGCATTTCGGAACATTCTATCTTGGCTCTACAACTTCCAGAATCCAGCAACCCGCCCGGCCCCGAGTTAACGTTTCCAAGTTTTTGAAGGTTACATGGATGTGACTTTTTTAACAAGCCTCAATGTTAGCTTAGCTAACTAACTTTAAACCATGGTCTAAATCTGGTTACATGTCCTTGGTTAAAAACAAATCCTGCTTAGTATTAACTGTGTTGTTCTTTTAAAAACAAATGCTGACAGCAGCGTCCGGAGAAAGTGTTTTGAAAGGCTTGGAATGAAGTAACTCCGTGGCTATGTCACTTTCTGCCTTGTTCTGGGCCAGAGTGGAGAATATGTGTGGTAGCTTAAGAGTGAGGGAGTCTTGTACTGACGTAATTTCACAGTGACACCCCCACCCACCCCCGTGGAGGGTTTTGCCCTGGGTGATGCTGGAAAGCTCCTACAGAAGGGCATACATGAGTCAAAAATGAAGCCGCCGTGTTCATGGAAGATTCTTCCTTACAGGCGGTGGTGGATGGGAGGGAAATTAGAATGGGGGGGGGGACACATGATTTAGGCAGCTTGTTTGAATTCAGTGTGACTTTGTTCAGTCTGTTTAGTTGACCTGAAGACATTTAATGCTGTTTTGTTGGGAGGGGATTTGGGGTTCAGCGGCCCGAGATTCATGGAGTAGACCTTTCTGGCCCATTTCCATCTTTCACCTGCGTGTGGCATGCACCCAATGCCATCTCAGTGAACGTGGGCAGCCAGAGGCCAGACTTTTTGTGCCTAAAATACCTTGAAATGTCTAAACTCAAATAGGAGTCATAGCATGTTTCTAACATGTAAAAGCGTGCTGCTTGTATACCGCCCCATAGCGCTTCAAGCACTCTCTGGGCGGCTTACAAGTTAATTATGCAGGCTACACATTCCCCCCCCCCCCAGCAAGCTGGGTCCTCATTTCACTGACCTCGGTAGGATAGAAGGCTGAGTCAACCTTGAGCCGCTACCTGGGATTGAACCCAGGTTGTGAGCACAGTTTTGTCTGCAGTAATGTGCATAGAAAACATCTCCTTCCTCTAGTTGGTGTTTTTGACACTGTATTTTTTCCATCGTAGCCTGTTTTCTTTCTTTCTTTTTAAACAGGCAGAGAACAGCCTCTCCCGGCATTCTCCAGATGTCAGGACTACAACCTCCAGCATCCAGTCTGTGCATCCATTGGGTGGAAGGTGATGGAGATTGTAGTCCAGCCTACCTGGCAGATGCCATGTTGAGGGAAGCCAAGGTGGAACCTTCCCCAGACAGTCAGATTTTTATAGGATCTTAGCAAGACGTGTCGGGCTGGTGATGCTGAAGCAGGAATTGTTGCAGTTTTCCTTAGTTCCCCTTCTGCTCACCTTCCCTTTTGGTTTTAATGGGCAGGTGCTTGCAAGGAGGCCTTTAGAGGATATTCTCACCTGGCACCTTGTCTGGTTTTCTCATTCCTTCTGCAGTTTTCTTAAGAGCTGTGTCAGTACAGAAAGAAAAAGAAAGGGCCGTGTTCCTTACAATAGAGCGAGACCTAAAACAATGATGTGGCTGTTGCACCAGTAGGATCCGGCTGAGGAGAGAAAAGGGGTGTTCCGTGGTGTTTACAGTTTAGGGTATGTGTCCGTGTGTTGCCTTTTCCAGGACCTCCGCGGATGTCTCCAAAGGCCCAGCGCCACCCTCGAGGCCACCGGGTCTCTGCAGGGAGAGGCGTGGTCTCGAGCGGCTTGGAATTCGTCTCTCACAACGTGCCAGGAGAAGCTAACGCCGCTTCGTCCGCCCGAGGCAGCCCTTCAGGTGGGACGTGGTCATCCGTGGTCATGGGAGGTGAGTAAACTCCCGCAGAAAGCCACGTTAGGGCTTTCACGGTTCTGATAGCCCTGTGCTTTTTCAGTCTCTGAAGTGTGTGCGGTCCTTGCGTCAGTTAGAAGTTAGGTGATGCATCCCATGCCTTTAATTTACTTTCTCTACAAACTCATGATGGCCGTGGAGGGCTACCAGCGCCCAGTTTTTCTCCCCTTGATGGGAAGAAGGGGCCCGTGGAAGCGGATCGACGCCTCACGCAGTTCCAGCGGAGGGAGCCATCCATCCGTCACAGCATGTACCTGTCCTCGGCAGGAGTGACGGCCACCTTGTTTATCGAAGCTCCTGTGAGGATCAGAATGCTTTGGCTGGACTTAAATTCCCTTTCCTGATTCCCCCTTTTCCCACCCACCCCCTCCTCATCCTGCTTTGAGGTGGATGGGAAGAGGCAGCAAAACCAGGCCGGGCTTCCCACGCTGTGCTGTTCACAGCACGCTTAGGACTCCATCTCAGAAGTTTCCACAGCAAAATAGATCTGAAGGCCCACGTTCGGCCGAACATATTTCCCCTCCTCCAGTCCTGGGACTTATATTGTGTAATTAGGAGCCGAGTGCATGCGTGAAAACAGGCCTCACCCCTTTGTAGGAGTTGTGTTTGGTAGCTGGTTAAGGGGTCCATAATAGGAGGGACGTGGTGGTGCTGCAGGTTAAACCGCAGAAGCCTCTGTGCTGCAAGGTCAGAAGACCAGCCGTCGTAAGATTGAATCCACGCAACAGAGTGAGCTTCCCTTGCTTCTCCCAGCTCCTGCCAAACTAGCCGTTCGAAAGCATGTAAAAATGCGAATAGATAAATAGGGACCACCTCGGTAGGAAGGTCATGACTTTCCGTGTCTAGTCACGCTGGCCACGTGACCACGGAGACAGTCTTTGGACCAACGCTGGCTCTGCGGCTCGGAGACGGGGATGAGCACCGCCCCCTAGAGTCGGACACGACTGGACTCAATGTCAAGGGGAACCTTAAGGGATCCATGGATCCTTGTGGACTGACTCTGTACAGGCTCTGTCTTTGCAAACTTCTTCAGTGTAGTCAGTTACTTAAAATCCTTTTTCCACAGCAGAGAAGTTTTCCTGTATCCTAAAACAGACGTGCGGGATGGAGGTTGCATCAGAAAAAAAAAATTGGGGAATTTCCCAGGAAGGGAAGTGGGTTTTTGCTAACTGTTGAATCAACTCAGTCGAGGCCTCGTGTTTGGTTTCCTTTTCCTGAGGGCAACACAGCGGTGAAGCATTGCAATGGGCTCCCTTTTCTTCTCTCCCTAGCTACTAGGTCATCTCCGAAAGCTCACCGGCCTCGGTCTCCAAGGCAGAGCAACGTCGGGGGAGTGCCCTCTGGGCCAGCGCTGTCTTCTCCCCAAGCTGGCTCGACTCCAGCTGAGACGGCAGCCCCTCCTGTTTCAGCTGCCTCTCCGACCCCAGCCAGTCCCGCCCCCAACCGAGCAGGAACCCCGTCGGTTGAAGGTAAAAAGGCGCCCGGCCCCTAATCGTGCTGCACGTTCTGTCTATGCGTGTAAATACAATAGGTGTGTCATGACCTCAGCGGTTGGCCTGCAGGTCTCCTATACATTTTGTTCTCTGCGTTAGGTTTGCTTATCTTTTATAGTCAGTTTCCTCTGTGTGTGTGTGAGAGAATGGAAAATACGTTTGCACAGCAGAAAGCTGATGGCTTCAAAGACAGCAACATTATTTTCTGAAGGCACGTTTGTTATCTTAGAAGGTTCCTGTGGCCTTTTTTCCCCCCTTCAGTTTGTCTGTTGAGATTTACACTGCCGTAAAATGAGCAGTGTTTTAAAAACCAATCAGACAGTTCTCTTGTCTATTTTGGAGGAAACAATATGAATTTAACTTGCAGAGGCCTTCTAAATGTAACGTTTAGGATTCCACCAAAGTGTTTGTGAAGAGTCTTGTTAGGCCCAGGAGGTACCTTCCCCCCGTCCCCCCTTCATGAGAAATGGGAAAATAGATTAGTGTCTGCTGGTGGGGGGGAGTGCGGTTGTGCTTTTACAAACTTTCAGATTGTGTTAAAAGTCTTCAGGTGCCACCCTTCCCCATTTATGTGTGACCTCTAATGCAATTGACATGTTCGGCACATGAAACCTCAAAAGAGGCCGTCCTGGGTGTGCGGCTCATTCTGTGCTTCCCTTCTTAGCTAAAGATGGACGGCTCCAGGACCAGAGACAGAGTTCCTCGCCGGCTGGAACCAAGGAACATCTGAAGCCCAATGAAACATCTCCTGGTTTTAGCAAACCTGAATGCAAAGGTAGGGTTTGTTGAGTTGCAACACGGTTGTGAGAAATGGGTAGCTGCCGGTGGGTTGCTTGCTTTTGTGGCGTGTATGGCACAGTGAAGCGTGTCCTGCACCGTCCTTTTTAGCCCCAGTTGGAGGCAGATATTTTAGATCCACAGACATTCTTTCTTCCCCTCGATCTGAATATTCTCTTAGTAGGCAGTATTTATCAGGTGGCCCCTTTTTCTCTCTCCAAACAACGCCCTCAGAAAACCCACCTTGAAAGTCCAGAACGTATAGGCAAAAGCTTGGGAGTGTTGCTTTTCTGGGCTATAACTGCTGTCATCCCCAGCCGAAAACCAAAAAGTAGGTTTTCCCAACCTGATCCCAGCTCTGCTTAAGGCTAGGTTGCCCTCTGAGGGCTTAACGTCAGAAGAAGGCTTGGGTTTGACCTCACATCAAGGGGTGGAGAGGTTCCCTGTGCTGCTTGAGCAGCCCGACAGACTTGGGAAAGACCCAGCCACATGGAACCCCACCTATTTTTGTGCACACAGTAGAAATGAATAAAGGGTGTGTGTGTGTGTGGGGGGGTAGCAGCTTGGTTTCCAGATTTCTCTGTTGCTCCAGCTGCTTAATTCCTGCCCCTGTGAGCAGGCCTCTCCGTTTGTGACAGGACTGCAAATCCTGTGAAACTCTTGGGGGATTCCCCCCCCCGCCGTCCTTCCCCACGGCTGAGGAAGCACTCCAATTGTAAAATCCCTCCATTTGGAGTGTGGTTTTGAGACCTCAGCTCAGCCTAGGAGTTTTCTGTTCCGGCCTCGTACCTCCCGTCTCCTGCTCCTTGTCACCGATCAGTTACGACACTATGTTTATTCTCTGCCAGGGGTCTCTCCAGCTGTTCTAGAACATAGGAAACAGATCGACGACTTGAAGAAGTTCAAGAACGACTTTAGGGTAAGTGCCCTCACTGATGAGGGGAGACAAAATAAATCCAGGGTCTAAGTCCATTCAGCTTCCTTTCCAAAGGGAGGAGCAAAGTCCGGAGGTCATTCCTGGGCTTCACGGAGCTTCGTTATGCATGCGGTTGTCCGTTTCATTTCAGCGGAAGGAGTACACGCTTTTATGTCTTGCTCTGAAATCAGGAGGGTTTCAGGAAATGCTTGATTCAGCGGCGAGTGCTTGCTTCAGCATTTTGATAGTGCCATGTGACGGTTTCAGGAAATGTTCTTGTATGACCGAGGGGGAGGAGACACTCTGTGCTAATCACAGGTGGGGGGGAGGAGCCTCCACCATTAGCTGCTTTCTCATTGTCTGGGGCAGGTGACCCTTTTTTGCTTTGGCTCTAGAGTAGACATACATCCAAGGCAGGTGCAGCATTCGCCCCGAAATTAAAATTTGCCAAGATTTAATTCCTGAGTGGTTTCATCATAAATCAGATTTCTGCTGGCAGAAGCTCCCTGTTTGAAGGCGCTTTGCATGCCTGTATTCCCTTCCACCTTTCGATTGTGGGTCTTCAGCCCTGCATGGCAAGGCAGAAGACCACAAAGTATACACCAGGAACAGCCAACCCTCGCTCTCTTTGAGGAACAGACCTGTGTGGTGTTTCCTGATGCCTGTGCTCTGTTTGGTCCTTGTATTTTTGGAAGTGAATTTAAGCATCATTTGGGATGACACCCATTGCAAAAGAATAATTACTGATGCCCCAGGTGTACTGGAACAGAGTCAGAACCCTCTGCGTCCCTCAGAGAGAGTTCCAGGAACGTTTATGTATAATTCTGTATGTACGTTTATGTATGGGCCTCCTGTGTGCATGTCGAATTATATCCTTCAGATTCTAGGGAGAACAACACATTTCATTTCAAGGTGTCGTTTCTAGATGATGAGCGCCCATGCCTTTTCGCTTGGCCTTAGTTCAAGGAAGACTGGCTAAAAGCTCAAACCCTTTCTTTCCTCCCTCCCCAACAGTTGCAACCAAGTTCCTCCCCAGAAACGGTGGAGCCGCTGCTGAGCAAAACCAGAGAGCCTGAAAAATCTAGAGACGCTCCAAAGGAGAAAGCGGCCGATGGCAGCTGCAAGGACCCGGTCCCTGAACCTGGCGGAAGCGGCGGGAACTCCGGCAGCAAGCCGGCCAGTCCGAGCCTTTCGCCGACGAGCAGCAGCACCGAGCCGAAGCGTGGCCCCGAGGTGACGTCGCAAGGCGTGCAGACCTCTGGGCCCGGAGCCAAGCAGGAGAAAGAGGACCGGGAGGAGAAAAAGGACCCCACCGAGTGAGTCGTCTTGTCTGCCCGACTCGTAGAAGTGTGTGTGTGTGTGTAAGAGGGTGGGGAGTGGAGATGGCTTGGGAGGGGAGGAAGTTGCTTAAAAGACTCTTGTGATCCTCGCCACAAAAATGCCATTGGCCGTTTTTGATCTAAGTCTCTCCTGTGATGTCGTGGAGCTGTGATGCCTGAGCGCTGAAGTATCATAATCCTTTATTGGGCCATTAAGGGAGAGGTCACTTCCCACCCCTTTTCCCCTGCTGATCTGTGTCTCTTCAGCTGGAAGGTTCCCCCTTCCTTAGACAAGCTTGTTGTGTGTGTATCAGTGCGAGTGTGGGGTCCTTTTCTCTCCAAAGTCATAGATCGAGGGATGGGCGAATTATCCAGGGAAAGTGACATTTGTACAGGCTTAACAGTTCCATCTTTGGGGAGAGGGTGTGCGCTGTCTTGCCGGCCCCCATTGAGGGAGGGGTGGGGATGGAGCACATCAGGGCTGCACACTTGAAGAAACCACGGTCATAGAGTCTCAGCCACGAAGAGGAGGCCCACGTGAGTTCGGGGCTGCACACTTGAAGAAGCCACGGTCATAGAGTCTCAGCCATGAAGAGGAGGCCCACGTGAGTTTTTTATTTGTTTGTTTGTTTGTTTGCAAGGAGCTCTATTGAGTGGCTAAGAACTGGGGGGGGGGCTTCCAGCTCAAGAGGATCCCACCTTCCTTCCCTCAGCAAAAAAAGCGCAATTGACGTGTCCTGAAGAAGCTGCAGCTTAGAAATTAGGGGAGAACCTCCCTGTTCTGCCTTTTTTTTCTCCCCATATTGGCATCGGTCACACTTTTAAGGCCGGGTGCTTGTTATTGTTCTAGAGAAGCACCCCGAGAGCAGTTTTCTACCCACCTCTCCGCTGGTGTTAGTGTGTGTGTGTGTGTGAGAAAAAGGAACTATGATGGCGGGACGTCTGGGTTTTTAATTCTGAAACAATTTCATATGCCTCTTCCTTCTGTTTCATGTCCTCAGACAAGTTAGAAAATCAACGCTGAATCCAAACGCGAAGGAGTTCAACCCTCGGTCGTTTGCTCAGGTGAGTCGCCGGCGCAGGGATCCTCCCCTTCCTCCCCTTCTCCAAGCCTGCCCTTCTGTGCGGGCTCCCGTACGAAGGGAGGCCTTGCATCATTTGCTCTCGGGCCCGAACGATCAGCAGGAGGAGAGCTTCCTAGCTTGGGGGGTGGGTGGGATTCATAGGGCGTATGGATGCACAGGTGACCAGCCTGCTCAGTGCCCTGCTTCTTCCCTCCCTTCACCTCCTCCCACCCCGCTTTTCTTGCAGCCTAAGCCTTCGACGACGCCGACGTCGCCCCGCCCACAAGCCCAGCCCAGCCCTTCCATGGTGAGCCACCAGCAGCCCACGCCCGTGTACACCCAGCCGGTCTGTTTCGCCCCCAATATGATGTACCCTGTGCCCGTCAGCCCGGGCGTTCAGGTAAGAATGGAGCACGTTTTTCGCCTGACGTATAAGCATGTGCTCCCCGGGTGAGGTGTGGATGCTGGTCGGCACTGCTTTCAAAAGGAGACGGGCAACCTGCGTGGAGGGTAGAGGAGGGCCCCGGTGGCAAGGGAACGATCCGCGTAACTGGAGAGTTGCCACATGCAGGCATTGGATATAACCTGGGGAAGGGTCCTGCTGCCCCAGAAGGGAGGGTCGTCCCGGCCAGCAAGGCTTCTCTGCGTCTCTGGTCCCTGGATAGGATCCCTGCCTCTCCTCAGAGGTGTTGTGGCAGGAAAGGGGAAGAGAAGCAGACAGACACACACACACACACCCCAATCTCAGTGTGTGCTCCTCCCAGGATTCTCCTTGCCCGAATTGGAAGCCCCTTGTTGTTGGAATCAGTGTGTTTTCTACCCTGAGGCTGTCAGGAGGGACAAGAAAGACTCCCCACATCTGGCAGGTTTTGGGTCAGGTGAGGCTATCGTGACACCAACACACCGACGACCCATCAAGGATCTCTGAAGCCGAGCGCGTTTTTTGCATGTCGCGTTTTTGGTGTCGCTGAGCACATAACACAGCAAAGTACCAAAGGAAAGAAGGACTCATCCGAAAAATCAGAAACAGCCGCTTCTTTGTAATGGGGTGGGAAACAGAGCAACGGTTATCGTCGTCTTAAAAGAACAGTTGGGTCCATTTACAGAAGCTTGCAAAAATAATTCTCAAAAATGTGCTAAAATTTCACCAAAGCTGCCCCCCCCCGAGAACTCTTGCTGTCTTGTTTGACGTTGGGTCCGGTTTTGTCCGATACTTGGCGAAACAATGCATCGTTGACTCAATCTCAGGCAATTGGCAGGCAGCCCATGGAAGAAAATCCAGTTAACCTCAGGTTAGAATTCAGGGCTTTCTGCCTGGCCCCCTGCAGCCCTCCAAAAATAGCACCTAATAGGAGCCGTGTAAGTCTTCCAACCGTTGGTCTCTTGTTAGGAGCGCACATGCGCAGGGCAGTTTGAGTAAGGCGTTTATTTTTAGGCCCTTCTCTGACAAATATTTTGATCCTCTCCCCTCCCACCCAGGCCGTCCCCACCTGCTTCTCGACTTCAGGAAGACTTTGCCAAGGGCAAGGGCAAGGGAGGAGAAACGGAAGCTCGGTTTTCTGTGTGGTTGTGCAGGAGGGGCAGGCGTGAAGCCAGCAGGTTTTGTGTTTACTGGCACGGCTCGCTTCAGACAAAGACCTGCTTCAGAGGATTAGAGTATCCGTCGAACACACCCCGTGGTTTGTGAGCCTGAAACGTAAGGGTTGTGGTGCCCTCTTCCCTTCCCAGATGCTCAAGTTGTAATGGAAAACTTTTTTGGATATGTCTTGTGTGTGCACATGTGTGTTATACCGCAGTTTTCCCTGAGATCGAACCAGGAAAGGTGTCGTTTTTGAACTGCCTGGAAGCCAAGGAGGGTTGAGCCCCCTTAGCAGAACGGGGCACCTACTGTGGTTGCTCAGTACAGCCGGCCCAGCCCCACGGGGCGCACTGAGGCCGGCAGGTAGACCGCAGCGGCGGCTTTGCAAGGCAGGCCTGAGGAAACAAAACAGAAAAGGGGCACCTGGTGCCGAATGCCAAACCTCTGCCAGCTGAGGGTCAGTCCTGTGCTTGCCCCTTATGAATGTGTCTGGAGAACGCCGAACGGGTGGGAGTGCGGCTGCGTGCCTTCTCTAACGGCCAACCGTCTGTCTTTCCTTTTTTCCCCCCCCTTCTAGCCTCTGTATCCCATTCCCATGGCCCCTGTGCCAGTCAACCAGGCCAAGACCTATAGAGCAGGTAAAGGTGAGAATAATACAGTATTGCATGCTCTTGTACTCCTCCCCTTTCACGTGGAATAATGGCATGGTCCTGCTTGCATTTTTTTTTAATCCTTCAAGGAGTAGCAACATTTACCCATCAGGTCAATGTCCCCTTCCTGATTTCTCCTGGTGTGGAAACCCCGTCACTTCATTTGGCTCTCGAGCTGCTTGTTTATTAGAAGGAAGGCTTAGAAAGAGACAACAGGCCCCTAGAGAAGTAACTGTGGAATAAGTTTTTAGTGGACTAGTTAGAACCACAATCAACCTTCCTTCCTTCCTCTTATCCATCATCAGCTCCTTCCTTCCTTCCTTCCTTCCTCCCTCCCTCCCTCTTATCCATCATCAGCTCCTTCCTTCCTT